ATTGGGAAATTTCTAACCAACACACTCAAACCTCTTAGCCATAAATGAACTGACCTCCATTCAAAGGTTTGATCTGAAACAACTTTTGCTCTCTCTGCCTTTGAACTCTATCATTCTCACTACATTCCCAGTACAGGATTTTGTTACTCCATTCTAGACAAAGGATACTGTTACTACTCTCAGGTTACACAGAAAACACTCAAGTTTGTTGATTGCTATCTTGAAACAATTAAAAGACATATAAAAATTCCTTAGTGTGAGCATATTCGAATAATTTACAGTGCAATCTATCAGCCACAAAACCCACTGTAGACTTGGCTTAACATTACAGTCAGAATTTAAGATAGAATACAATACTGATGTCACCATTTATTAGTCTTATCCCTTCTTCCAAACGTACTTTATCACCACAAATCACAGGAACTAACTGCACAACTTTCTGCAAGGGAGTTTGAAGTACAAAAGAAGTTTAATTATAGTGTGTATATAGTCTGAGACTTGAATGTAAACACACAGGCACACATGCCTGCTTGTAGAACATATCGATTACATTGTAGATATGCAAGGCACTCTCAAATTGATGTGGTATGGTACCTAAAAATTATGACATTGTCATAATTGGGCCTAAAACTATAAACTAACAGTATAATACCAGTCTTCTTTTAAAAAGGTTTACATGATCACTCTACATGCACTGGTCACCGTCTGGATAAGACAGTTATCCCATCTTTCCATTGCAAGCTTTTCATACTGGAATCATTCCCACTACTTACACAGCGCTCGGGATGCAGCCTGGATGTGCACACACAGCACCCGCAACACACGCTCACAGACACTCCCAATCTTACACCTGCTCTGAAGCAGTAGGAAGTGAATTCTCAATCTGTCAACATGACCATCTGGTCTATCTGCATATCACGGCTTTCTCTAGTATTCTATGAAGGAATGGCAAGCACGAAGCCAAAATAAAATGAAAAAGCACCTGAATGGGAGTATCTCTCTTTTCGTTAAAATGGAATAATATGTGGCACATCGTAGCAGTGATCTAACGAATTTTTTTTAAAAATGAACATTCCCAACAGCAAAATTAAGTGAACAATCTGGCGCAGGTAATGTGGTAACTGGTAATAGTATTGTGCAGGTTTATGGTGCCAGGTACCATGCTTTTGAGACACCTCATCAGCTCTTTCTGTAAGGGATGGCACCTCTGCATTTCTGACCCAAGCAAAAGCAAGTGGGGGTGAGTAAGCAGTAACAACTCTACTAAATGGGAGAGCCAGAGTGTTCATTTCCCACCTCAAAAATAACTGGGTACTCATGCTGCCATTAGGACAACATCAATTCACTTTTAACTCATTGGCTAATTAACAGGAACAACAATTACCTGAGAGAGTCTGGTCACTTATTAGACTTTCAAAGTAAATTTTAAGACTGCTAAAAAACATTTCCCAATTTTAGAAAATTCTTCACCTGCAAAAAAAAAATGAAGATCATTCCATATGATATAGCTTTGGGGCTTAATGTCACTTGAAATTAGCAAAGGTCTTTGTTGAATTAAATCTAATTCTGTTTGTTTAACTTTAGTTTTTAAATCTGGTGACCTCAGAGCTTTCATTGTACCCCACACTAGGTAATAACTACCAAATATAAATGGTGGCTACCACTCTAGGTCGTAAATGTACCAATCTTCTTCAGTCCACGCAAGGAATCCTTAAAAAAAAAAATCTAACCTCTTATAAAATTTAACTAACTCAACTGAGGATTTTTCTAGACTCTGATTACATTACCAGAAGTTATACAGGAGCAGTATTTTAGAAAAGGAAAAAAAAGAAAAGAAACCTCTCCAGAAAGTTCTCGGTTGAGTGCCTACTAATGAACAAAGGTTAACTTTATCTAAAAGGTCAAATGCCTGGTGGCTAAGGTTATGACCTTAACAACTTAAATTGTGACCTTGCCACGTGCCGGTATAGTGTAGATTCTGATACAGATCATCTGGTAAAAGCTGGTCATAAATTAGCTTTACTGTTCCATACCCACAAAGAAAACCACTGGCCACAATACCGTAACATAGGCTACATGGAAGGACAACTCAGAGACCAAGCTAAGGGCATAACATGGCTTTGTTCTTTTATACCTCTAATGAAATGAAACTCTCAGGCTTATGAAATAACTCCAGTTTCAGTACACTAGTTACTATTTATCGGCCACGAAATTAACACCGTTCTAATACCACTGGATTTAAGGGAAAACTTGGAATGTAGTTATGTATTGTATTTTAGGATCTCAATAAGCCTTAAACCACCTCTGCTTAAAAAAAAAAAAAAAAAGATCATGCCCACATTTACTTTCAATATTCTATAAAAATTTTACTTTTCACCAAAGAAGCTGCCGATGGATGAGGCAATAATTATTGTACCCTATTTTTGGAAGCAAAAGATCTCACTTCTGTGGCCGTCGTAGGAGAAAGAAAAGGGACATCTTTTTAGGAGGAAAAAAATTACGCTTTGAAAGAAAGAAAGAAAAAAACTACACAATAGGTAAAAAGGCCACAATAGTTCTGGCATGTATCTTGAAGCACGTTTCAGAGACTCTGCCTCCTGCCAATACTGGCAAGTTCTCAAAACTTTTAAGGAGGTAAAAACATTGTTTAGTGTTTACAAATCTTCAGTATTATAACAGATGCTTGTCAAATCAGTTGTATGTAAGTTGACCAATCTACCTCCTATTTGTATTGGCAGCTTATCTTCCACAAATAGCAAATCTCAAAATCGCTTAAATCAAATTTGTAATATTTTCAGACAAAAGATCCTTACTATTTTCTTTTGCAACCTTTCAGCTATGCAGGAGAATAGCAGCCATTACTGATGTCCTGTAGAAACCAATGGCCAGACGCTTGGCCCCTGTTCAGGCGTAAGGAGGAATTCTGGGATATATCACGAAAACCAAACCAAAAGGTAGTCTGATCCACACTGCAGTCAATGAATTTTTCATAAGCAATAAAGATGCACACTCTCTTAGGCAACCTTTTTAAACATCTTTTCATCAACATCACCCCTTCAGGAATAACGCCAACCAGAAACTTTTGTTAGCTCAAGGATTTGAAGCAACAAGCATAAAAATAAACCATCAACAATCAAAGGTAACACGGGTACTGGGAATAGCGAAAACAGCTGCATTTCTTTAGATCTAAGGGAAAACTAAAGCCGAACTTAGAATGGGTCTGTCCTGCTCACTATGGTTAAAAAAAAAAAAAAAACTTCACAGGAATTTCATATTGGGGCTATCTTATAAGAAAGCAGACATTTGATTTACATCACTTGTTGCTACCCCAAGTTCATAGGTAAGCCAATTACTATAATTTAGAAATGATTTTACTATCTTTCTAAAAGAAAACCACACTATTTTGAATAGTGCTCCTTGAAAGCATTATAGCCCATGCTTTTTTTTCTTTGCACCTTGATGCACTTATATGTGCAAATAAATGGAAAAATAAAAGTTAACTTTGCTCTTGCCATAGACAAAACAAATGAATAACAGAATAGTAAAGGGCCACTTGTTCCCGCTTAGGGATCAGTCGTGACATATTGCTTTTTCATTTTTGCTATTCAGAACTGGCTTAATGCAAAAGGCACTCCTTATAATTAAATATACATTTTCAAAAACCCAAATATTTGAGCCACTCACAGAGCACATCCTCTGAAATACTCAACTATCCTCTGCCAACTGAATGCAAATGATGATGTGACATGCTTGCAAAGTTAATTTCTCCAGCTCCTTAAGTAAGGACAGATGGATAACAAAAGTCCTCTTCCTAAACCATATTTTGTGGAAAATAATAGAAAGCAGAGTATCCACTGACCTTTGGAAAAAATAGTTACCATTTTTAGAACTAAAAATCTTTTGCAGAAAAGTGCAATGTTGACTTTACAGGTAGTATCTCCTCTCTCCTTTGTCAAAAAATAAACTCCCACAAATACATGATCTCTGCAAAGAGCCACCGGTAGGACTCTATAAGTTTCCCTTTCTTCCATCTGGCTCAAGGAACTGCCATGAAGGCAATCTAGCAAGACTGATATGTACATATAAAAAGTCAACAAGTTACACAAGACCTAAGCTTTTACATAACACAATGAGCCTTTTGTCTAAAAACGAGACTAAAGGAACAAAGTAGAAATTGACTGTTTTAGCCAGTTCTCCACAGTTTTATCCTGACTTGCTATTCTAGATGCTGAAACATGCACTGGTAAAAACATGTCTCAAAAAAAAAAGTGAGTTTAATAAAATCCAGAACAACTCCCCTCCAGTAGTTATCAATAGCAACTTTTCAATGTACTCAGGCACTGTTTAGTTACTTTTAATGTTAACCCCTCTGTCAATTACTTAAGCAGTTTTGTTGGTTGATTGGTTTCTCTGGCTATTTGAAACTACACTAAGAATTCCTAAAACAAAGCTACTCAGCTTGTGTATGAATGTGATTACCTTTCCTTCATAAATGATGAGCAATTTGATAGTATTCTTACCTCCAACTTCTTAATTGGCAAAAGGGTTCAAGAGGCCCCAGTAGGCTAAAAAATACTCCCAGTAGAAAAGCAACTAACAAGATTGCCTCGCCACCAAACTAAACGCTCTTTAACTAGATCACTTGCCTCTTAAATACCTTTTTTACTCCAAAGGTTTTCATAAGGCCTTATCTCCCACCTCATCCAAAAAAAAAAAAAAAGATCGAAACTTCAGGCCCCTGTTGGGGACTACCACTTACCAAAAGATCTGAACATAGTAAGAATTCTCTCAAAGCTATGCTTGGGCACCTACATAAAGCTGGAACCGGACACAGAAAGCTTCAGGCTGCGCTAACTAGTCTATGAGAAACCACACTGGCTCTAAGTACCTGGCCTGTACCATGGATTGCTCAGGAAAGATCAGGCATATATAAAGTCATCAGGAAAGAAACACACACACACACACAAGAAAGTAGAAGGATTTCTCACCATCGCACTTACCTGCTGCATGCACAAAGTATGCCAAATATAAATCGAGTTCCTTAACAGAGACCCCTATGTGATGGGGCTGGACACAGAGCCCTGGATTAGAGCATTGCGGGGACTTTACAAGGCGCTCGCCATCAGTACTTTCCAGCGGAATACCTTTGAACAAGATCACCATAACAAGGTCCAACCTCCAGACTTTATCTGCCTGGCGGAGGCAGTCAATTCTTCGCATCTTGCCTTTCTGGTCTGGGTTGGACAGAACACAACATGGAGGCTTTTTCCCTGTGACTGTAAGAACAAAATCCTCTCGGTACTCAGGTCTGATATCTTTCCGTAACTTTGCCAGAAGTCGAGATGCCCACTTCTGCTTGACCTCTGGTTTTTCACTTAGCAACTCATCCTTCACGGCTCTCTCTTCTTCTTTTGACATACGCTTTTCGTGTTTTTTGAAGTATTTTCGTTTTCGGGCCTGCAGGTTGAACCATGTGTAGGCAAAGGCTCTGACGTGCGGCAGAAGTGCTTCAATGAAAGGATGAAATTCATCCTAGGAGAAGGCACAGAAACCAAATGATGAATACAAGGAAAACAAAAAGGAACAGCTTTCATCAGAGGGCAACCTTAAAAGTAATTTCTCCTTTCACATAAAAATTGAATTGAGCACTGCATTACCCAAATTCCACCTACAATCTCTCATGCTCCTTCTGGAAAGAAGGAACAAGGCCATCAGTATCATCTCTCCCGAGCTGAAAGAAGTTGCTAAAACTTAAAAGATATTTAGCTATGTTTCCCAAAGTGCATCAGCCTCTACTGTTGGGCCTAGGGATCCTTTAGATAGTACATGAAGCTTCTCTCCATGCTTATAACAAGATATAATCTTAACCCTATTTCAAGGAGGACATATCTAATTTGTCCCTATCTTGACCTCACCACTTGTAGGACAGCCAGGGCCTGGCCGCCAGATTGGCAAATCCTGAACATTTAGATGCCAGTCAATGTTTATGGAAGTCTTAGAGCAAAAATCCCCACTTCAATGAAAGCAAAGGCTTGTCCTCTAAAAATACCTCACGTAGACTCTATTCTATTTCATATGCATTTTGGTGGTATCTTAAGTTCTCTCGCAAACATGGGAGTGGCACATAATTTTTTTTTAATTCAAAAAGAATATTTTGGCAGGGTCTTCATACAAAAGAAGAATTTGATGTTCATCAGGCTACCATAAAACATCCATGCCTTAGATATAATCTCTGATACCATATGGGGAATGAAAAAAAAAAGTGGGAGTAGGGGACATGGAGAATTAAAAAATAAATAAACAAAAAAAAGCATACATGCCAAAAAGCAACTAACTGCATCACAACTCTGTTGCAAATAAATACATTTAATTTACTGATAGGATTGTGACATGCCTTCAGTAATAATGAAAAAAATAGATTATTTAATTTTTAAAAATAATATTTCTGCTTTTTTCCCCACAGAGAAGCAGAGAACCTGGTATGCTCAAGTTTATGAGATTCCAGGAAAAACCCTCACGGACACCTTTTAAAATTTGAAAATAAAATTCAATTGAAACCATTTAAATTTTTCTCCCTTTTTTTACTCAAAATGTCTGATTCTTTTAACATTTAGTTAGGAAATACAAATATTTAAAAAAATTAATTAAACAGTAACCTCTCCACAGGGTTTTCGGAGTACATCTAACTTTTGATTAACTAGTCCATACTTCTCTTACATAACTTCTTTCTGCCACATAACCTCCCCTAAAGGTAAATTACTTACTTCCAAATAAATAAGGATAAGAAAACTAAATAGATGTTTGATGACTTTTTTAAGGGTATAGTGAAAATATTATGAAATGCATTCTTGTTGAGTTTGGTATACTGAACCAGAGACATGCTTTTGAAATGCAAGTACTGTCCAAAATAGTCAAAGAAAATGTTAAATTTCTTAATGTTCAGCTATAAAATGAGTAAAATATTTCAATAGACAAGTCTGCTAAAAATTTATAAATTATAATCAATCATCTGAGTGTAACAAGTGACTGTTTTTTTAAAAAGGATATATATTAATATAATATGTCATAAATCACTGCAATAATTGACATTTTTCCTCTCAGCACAAGTTCTATATTCTGTTTCAAGTCGAGCTTTGAAAAATAGCCCCCTTTCAATAAAAGAAAACCAAAGAGAAATAGTTAGCTTTCGTATCATGTGCATTCTTCAAGTGGAAGGCCAAAAGCAAAAAATACAAGAATTATATTATTCTTTCCCATAAACCATTAGCATTTTTAAAATGTGTGATGTTTGAGAATCTTCTTATCCTCACTCTTTAGATGAAAGAAATACGAGGAGAGTCACAGTTTATCTGTTAAGGCATATGCCAAACCACAAAGCATTTAAACATTACTAAATTCTGAGCTCATCCTCGAAATGTTCTGAAACACATAAATTTTAAGTTTGAAACAACCGTTCACTTAGACTGATTTTCTTATAGATTCAGGACATGCTGAGAACCAGCATTCGGCAAAGAATTCCTGCAGTTTACCTTAAATTACACAGTAAGCTTTCACCAAAGGAAAGACTTCATTTTAAAGTCTCAGCCCCATTTCATACTGCAAAAGAAAATAACTTAATTCCAAAAAATTCACATCTATATCAAAATATTATTTTATTTACAACTTTTTATTTGAATTATTATTTTAAGTAAACATTCTAATATGGCATTGTATTTTTTATGTCCAACAATAGTCCCAAAATGCTTTTTAAACACACACACACACACACACACACACACACACACACACACACACACACACACACACACAAAACCCTAGGAACTGTGTTTCTTCCTGTTAAGAAGCATTCTATTTACCTGCCAACGAAATGCCTACATATCTCACCCTAAAAATCTGTGAATAAGGCCAACTGTGTCAACCAGTCATTAAGAATAAAGTAAGTCTCCAGTTTTGCATCAAACATATTTATAAAATGTTATTTTCCAAAAGTTGCTACAATGTATCATCAGAAATACACAATATTTTGTATAGCTTTACTCCCATGCACATTTACAGCTCCAGTTATTTTTCTTAATTTATCGTTCTCAACCTATGGTTAGAAATATTTCAAAATATCCAAACTTTAAAAAAAAAAGATCAATTTGCAGGAAATGTCCTGGAATAGTCTAAATGATTAATTTTTAAACAGATAATATGTCCTTATAAAGCATGTTGCTGAACAAAATGCCATAAGCTACTATAATATTTCAAAATATTCAAGAGGAAACAAAGAGCATTTTACATAAGTAGCTGGCAAGAATGTTCCAGGCCACCAATTAAAAAATAAACCTGAAAACCTGTTTCAAAGGCCATCTTAAATGTTGGTCTGTTTGAAAGCAAGCCAAGTTCAAGCACCTCAGAATATGGATATTTCTGGAAACTATTTAAAAAAAAACTCACCTATAAATTTCTGCTGGGTTATCACTATTTAGCCAGGTACATGGTTTGTTTATAGTATGTCCATCCTGGAATAAAATATGACGTCTGGCATTTTCTTGATAAAGTTTTTAAAAGTACGAATAAGTAAATAGAGTTGCCGCTTTTTATGTATAGCACTTTTATCACTGGGCTTACTGATCTTTTTTACTTTTTAATGAGCAATAAACTACCTAAGTTTTTCTTTCTGAAACTGGCTCTAAAGCATTATAAATACTCCAGAAAGTTAAATAAATTGTAAATCAATTTTTAACCCCCCCCATAAAATAAATGATCCTTCATCCACTATTTATTGTACATTTTCTTCATAAACTGTTACACTAAGAAAGCATTTCTCTTAGTGGTGTTTCAGAAGGAGGCCTAGTGAATCCATCAATCAACACTGCCAAATATGTAGTGGGGAGGGGGGGGGGGAGAAGAAGAAGAAAAAAACTTTCTATAGCTCATGAACCAAAAGAGGTCAATTTTGTTAAATACCTGATTCTACCCTGGGCCTGCATGATACACAGGTTTCCTTACACATGCAGGACTCCGAAAGGTAAGTTTATGTTTTCTTAAGAAGACACAGATGTTATATTAGGGTCTTCTCTCTCAATGACAACACACTGGCATTATCTACAAGTTCTCTGGGTGGCAAACTTTTGCCAAGTAGAACTTCAGTCTTCGAATCTCAGCATTTTTACTGCAGTCTATAATTCATTCAAATTATCTTACACTTTGCATCTTATCCATATGCAATCGTGAGCCTTGCCAGAAGTGGTTGGAAAAGTTTCATTCCATACTTCCACAAGTTACTAAAATAAGAACTTTGGAAGTTTGTTGGGGGGGGGGGGGGCTCTTTCTTACAATAGCCAAAAGCAACTGCTATCCATTATTAATGCTAGGCCTAAATCCCAAACAGACCATTTCAACATAAAAATGCATTTAAGAGTCTTCTGAGATCAAATAGCCACTATCATTACTGCTAGATACTGCAGTAAGAAAGGATGTCGTGGCAAATAACCCCAGAATCTAGAGAGGAGAGAGCAAACAACTGATGCTTTTCAGTTCTTCCCAAGTCATCTGGTTAAACCGTTATCTCCGGCTATATGAAGGCAAGAAGTGCGAGCAGATTTTCCGAAGGGACTGGTGAATAAACATTCTATTTGAAGCTTAATGTAGGTGCTTAATGGCTAGATCGCAATGTACCAAACCAGTATCAAAACTCACGGGTGGTTTCTTTTTTTGTCCCCCCCCCCCGCCAAAAAAAAAGAAAAGAAAAATTAGCGCACAACTATTCTGACTTCAGGTCTTTTAGTCAAAGAAAGTAAATACTGTATTGAAAAGGTCTCAGATTTTAGGGCCTCGAAGTAGCAGTATTTTGCCTGAGGGTGGTGCAGGGCTCGGAGGGACGGACTCGCAGGGTGTATGGGGGGGGGGGGTAGAACGGAGGGGCGGTGGGTGCGCAGACCCCCACGCTCCGAGTGGAGTCGGAGGGAGGAAAGTTGCCCCCGTCCTGCGCGCGCGGAGCGGCCGGAATCGCGCAGTGGCGGCGACGGGAGGCGGCGGCAGGGGGGTGGAGGGGGAGGTGTGCGTGCGTGCATGGGTGTGTGTGTGTGTGTGTGTGTGTGTGTCGTGGGGAGGGGGGGGAAGGAACCGTGTCCGGCCCGGGGCCGCGGATCTCAAGCTCCAACTCCGCCCGGAGCTCCCGGGCCCCGCGCAGCCCGCGGCCTTAGTTGCCCGCCGCACCCGCGCAGCGTGGACTCGTCCCGGCCCCGAAAACTTTCACTCGGGGAAAAGCGAGAAAGCGGGCGGGCGGGCGGGCGAGGGAGCAAGCGGGCGGGCAGGCAGCGAGTGCGCGGGCGGGCGGGCGGGCGGGCGGGCGGGCGGCGAGGACGCAGGCTCCACCCGGCCGGCGCGGGGCGACGCGCGTCCACGCAGCCCCGCTCGGCCGAGGAGCTCCGCCGGCCGCCCCGTCCGCGTCCAAGGGGCGCTGTCCCGAGCCAGGGTACGGACGACGGCCGAGACCCCGGAGGCTGACAATAAACAAAAGTAAAAAAAAAAAAAGAGAGAGCGAGAGAGAGAGTTTGGGGGGCGGGGGAGGTGGCGGGGTTCGCGCGGGCTCCGGGGGAAGTGGGGGGGGACCTGGCCGTGGGCGCCGGCACCCGCGGCGTTGCTGCACTCGGGGGGCTGCGGCTGCCGGCAGAGTGCGGGGTGCGCGGTGCACTCCGTGCGCGGGTCCCCCCCCCTTTCCCCGGGCGCGGCGGAACTACCCGGAGCCTCCGCTCCGGGCGGCAGAATTCGCTGAGTCCAGATTTCAGTGTGTCATGGGCTGCAACCCCGCGGAAACACGTGCGGGGCGTCCGAACACACCGCCGTTCCGCAGTCCGGCGCCCCGATATTAATTAACGCATTAATAAGAGGGCGCCATTAGCCATGTGCCCACACAAATGGCCGTGCAAGAGGAATGCACCCGCATGGAAACAAAGTTACTTTCTGAAAGCTGTATTTCTCTCCCCCCTCCTCCCCTCCCAGCCCCTCCACACGCGCGCGCGCGCACACTCACACACACACAGAAACACGCGCAGACACGGGCACACACCGACACACATGCCCCGGGCCCAGCCGGCGTGACGGTCCCAGGCCCCCCCCAGCACACACACACCCCTGCCCAGCCACAGACGGGCGCCCCCCCCCTCCAGTTACCCGACCCCCCTCCTCACCCCCTCCGCATCCCAACAGCTGCTTACCTGGGTGAGACAGAGCGGAGAATACATAACTGCCGGGCGGTGGGGTGTGCGTGTGCGTCTGGGTGTGCGGTTTGGAGGTGTGCGTGAGTGTGGGTGAGAGAGGAGAGAGAGGGAGAGAGGAAGAGAGAGGAGAGAGAAAGAGAAGAGAGAGAGAGGGAGAGGAGGGGGGAAGAAAAAAAAATCAAGCCTGCTTCTTGCGTTCACATTTCCAACTCGGCTCAACTGCAGCCAGCCAGCGCTATTGCCGCTCCATGGGCTGAACTTTAACCCCGCCTAGAGTTTCCCTACACTCCACTATACCGTCTACTGTACGCGGGCGTTAAAGGCATAGCGCACCCTTTCCCGCTCCCGCGCCGGCCCGGCCCGGGTGCCCGTGAGCTGCCCGCGCGCCCGCCTCCGCCTCCTCTCTGCACCGCACCGCACAGCCGCCGCCCGCTCGCGCCGCCGCCGCCGGGGGGCGGGGGAGGGGGGCGTGGGGGAGGGGGGGCGGCTGCGGCGCCGCGGCCAGCCCGGGTCCCCAGCCTCCGCGGCCGCTCGCGCTCACCCACCCGCCAGCCAGCCCAGCCCAGCCGAGCCGAGCCAGCCGGGTCTCCACTCGCTTCCCTAGCTCGCTCCCCTCTTCGCTCTCTGCACCCCCTCGCTCGCTCGCTCGCTCTCTCCAGCTCGAACACCCCCCCCCCTCTGCGTCCACCCCCCCCCCCTTCCCCTGCTCAGCGCATTTACTGGGTAACGCAGTGAGGAGCAGTTACAGTCTGTACTCCCGGGCAGCTATAGGCTGCCACAGGATGTGCTTAAGCAAACAAAACTACTTTTCCTCGTCCCCCATCCCCCCCCCCCCCCCCCCCGCCGCAGACCTTCGCGGACCTCGCTGCAGGATTTGGGCAACTTTGCCAGGTTAGCCTGCACACCCCACTTCCCCCCACCTCCCCCTACCCCCCCCCGCTCCCCCCCCACCCCGGGCCACCGTGCGGGCGAGTGGAGGGTGTCCTGGAGGAGGAGGAGGAGGAGGTCGGGTGGCACATTTGCATGTACACAAATTTCCTTTAAAGATCAGACCTCCTAGGTAACTTTTCTCGCCAGCCGCCCCCACTCCCCCCCCCCCCGCTCTGAAATGCGGTACGGCTCAAAGCATTGTAATCTCTGGGGCGAAGCTTTCTGTGGGAATAGATTCGTCGGCAGAGGTAATTATGCACAAAATCCTGCAAACTTCATGCAGCTTCGGTCCTGTGGCATTCAGAAGCCAGGGTGGTGGGGAATTATCTCACCGAGAAGATTCACCGGATTTTTTTTTGGGGGGGGGGGTTGTCTGGAGAGAGGAAGGCGGAGATTAAGAAGCGTTCTTCCCTCCCAGGACTCTGGAACCAGTGGGTTTGAACACAGACGCCATACAAAAAGTTCTATCTCGTTAGAAACAACAGTGGTTTAGCTGGGACTTTTTTTTTTCCTGTTTAGAAGGAGAAAAAAAAAATCAAATAAGAAAGGGATGTCCCCTTGAGGGAAGGCATATGCTCTGATCCACAAACGCGTATCCAGGAGTGGACATCAGCTGTCATTAGCCTTCCCCTGGAAAGGTGCCTTTTCCGAACCCCCTCTTTTTTTTTTTACTCCCCCAGGTAATAGTTCTTAAAATGGAAAAGAGCTTCCTGCAATTATTTTAGGTTTGCTAAAGTATTGTTTTGGCAGAAAAGGGGGGTGGTTTTTAGGGTTTGGCAAGTTGCCAATAAGCCTGCTTTTCCAGTTTTTTTTTTTCTAACCTCATATTTTTTTTTCTCCAGCTCTTTTTCTCCGTCCTATCTTTTTCTCTTCCTCTTCCTCATGTGAATTTGCAGTCTCCTACGTTTGCCAAACCCTCTCAAAACTCCTAAGGGAAAGAGCAGGGTATCATGTTGAACCGGACCCTGGCCCCCAGACAGGGGAATCTGCACCTTGGTAGAGGTGACATAGCGGAAGGGACTCCAAAAGAGGAAATTTCAGATGAAAAGCCCACCAGGTAAATAAGGGTACATGATGTATCAAGGGCCACTTCCATTCTGACTTGCTTTTTAAGTAAGGAGCAAGAAATATCCAAGAAACAAAATAAAATCTCCTGAAATAGTTCGACAATCGTCTAAAATTATTGTGTGTTTGTTCCTAGTTACTTTAGTGCTCAAATAAATCCCCAGTGTTCGAGAAACCATCCTCTCCCCCACCTCATCTTAAACATACTTGAAAACCTCTCAAGTATTTATTAAGTGGTAAAGAGAAATAATAACTTCAGCCTTTAATTAGAGCGTCCACCCTGCCCCCACCCAAGGAAAAAAAACTGAACAACTGCCTTTCTTTAGTTGCTGGTGGATTTCAGTAGGAGAGGAAATGCCCTCAAAGCTAGGCGAGTTACAGAGTCAACACCCCTGGCCACGAAAACCTTTGCTGGGATCTATAACTTCAAGCGCTCCAAGTTTCCTCGATAGAAGTTTCTGGCTGACGGTCCCAACATGTAACTGAGGCACGGTGAGAAGTTATTGTTCCGAGTGTGTACTCTTGGGACGCTCTCTTCTAGGGTAGATTAACATCTTTCTTTTGGTGTATTAAAAGATACATTTCACATCTGCCTCTTTTCAAAACAGCAAAGATTCTTACTTTTGATTGAGTTCAAGAAAGGGGAAAAATTTTTATAAAAAGGACTGGCACGTCGCCCTGTTTTTTTTTTTAATGAAAGTAATTTAATGCTGATATTTCCACTTTAAAAACTTCTTTTGTTACAGCAGTGGATGTGCCCGCGATTTCCAGCTTTCTGCGGTTAGCAATATTATCTTAAGTAACTTTTGGCGCCCTTCAGAAGACTTTTGGATATGGGACGATTGTTTGCGCCCTCTAGGCAAGGGCTGGATCCAAGTTCAGCACCAAAGCCCTTCACATCCGCTCCTGCTTTCTCTCCTATCTCGGCCAGCTCCCGCTCCCTCCCCCGTGCGGGAGGGGAGGAGGGGTGGGAGGCGGGGGAAACACTACAAAGCCCAGTTCCAGCTACAGCCTTTGGAAAGTCGACTGAGAAAAATACAGTAGAAGAGTTACAGTTACAGAAAGGCTTCTGGTAACTTTCTCTCCAACGGGCATAAATTTAAACACACACACGCACACATACACACACACACACACACACAGATGTTCCTCAAAGACAGACTAAGGGGAAAAAAAATTATTTTCCAACTTTCTCTCTTGCTCCCAAATTGCAAAGTAAATTCTTGTCCAGATAGTAAGGAGACAGAATAGAGTCAAAGAGAGACGGGGGAGGGGGGAGAAACAGGTGAAATATGAAAACTAGTTTACTGTACTGCTGCCATGGTATAAATGACCCATTGTTAGGAAGGATAAACCCCTTATTGGAAATAACCGCTCCAGTCATTTATTTTGCAAACTGGTAGGAGGCTGCCTTGAAATGGGATTGTCTCTGAGAAAAGGAGTCTCCTGTCATACTCTCTGCTGTCCATATTCTTCCTGGCCCAGAGCCCAGCCTTGCATTTACTGTGTTTTATTTGCAGAAACATTACCTTGCCAACTTTAGTGAAATCCTCTTAGATATATAAATTATGTCAATAAGGTTTCACTTATATATACATCTCAAATACCTCTCATTTTGCAGGTTACTTAATTGGCAAATCTTATTAATATGATTTTGATTTTAATGCCCAAAGCAGCGAATATCCTCACTGGGATTTGTAAGTGACAACCACCATTCACTTTGTAGTTCTTACCAAGACTAACTTCATTAACTCACATTTGCCAACATTTTTCTTCTCTAGTTTTTGACTAGCTGAGCACTTGTGTGCTAATTTTTCTTATGTGTATAAAATCCTAAATTGAATCATGTTGCTGAACCCAACACCTCCAGTAAAGTTGAACATAAAAAGTTAAAACAGGATTTTACTGGAAGGCCCAAAGCCTTAGGAAATAATTAGATGGGAATGTCCAAAAAAAAAAAAAAAGTCTAAGATTATTTTCCATTCCCTCCCCAACAGGATTAGGTGTTCTAATCAGAGAAAAGGTGATAGATATATTTCACGCAGAGGCTACTTAGTTACAATCTCCAAGACAAGCTACTACAGTTGCTTTCCACTGAACTGGGGTCAAGGACTTGAACAAGAGGCCAGACTACAGCTAACAGTTAGGAAGTCAGCAATCTTACAGGCTTGCAGCTTCAGGAGGGGTTGTTGTGGGAACAAGAAATGTGAACTTGGCCTGTCTTAACTATCCTGTTTACTACTGAACAAATACTTAAACAGTAGAATTCGAGAAAAGCTAAAGAAAATCCACTCCCTTCCTTTCAAATGTATGAAACAGCTGTCAGTCCACCTGTGAAGCATTCCCTTTTAAGACATCAGAGATCAAGAGGACCTCACCCATTCCTCAAAGTACTGGAAATGTCAAAGCTTCTCAGAGAATCAGAGTGAGTTCTGAAATGCTGAGTATTTTGCATACTCAATGATATATTTTGCATATATCATTCCCCAAAGCTCCCTGCAGCCCCCAAATCCAGGCCACTTCCAACTTCCACAAGTTACCAGTTTTCCCCCGAGTAACAAATACAAAGTTACCAAAAATAGCTAATTCAAAGTTGAATGTTTCTCTAGAATTATTTTTCTTTTTCCAAAGGGCAGAGAAAAAGGCGTCAGAGTCAAGCAAGGAAATACCCAATCACCTTTTCCCCCCCCTCGCTTAAACTTGCAAACTCTTTCCTATTGTGCTTGCTAAATCCGGAAGAGCTTGTGGCATTGACAGCTTGAACCACACCAACCCCTTCAGAGAAGCCGAGAACTTCAGATCTCTTCTGCCCGCCCCCTCTGGCTATTGCAAGCCATTCATTGTACACCTCGAGCTTTCTCCTGATTGGGTGGAGCTTTTGTCAATCTCCTAGGTTGTCCCATTGATTAGAGGACCGAATCGTCAATTATTCTCCCGGTCCAGACATTTCTTTTTCGGGTTAGGTTGACTGCTAAGGCCAGACGTCTTTTACAGAACGGAGCACGTACAGGATTCCCCCACCCCTTTCTGGAACCGAGCAAGCGCTAGGAGAAAAAAAAAAAAAATCTGTTAAGCTCAGCAATTTTTTCAAATCTCGAAAAAAAAAAAAAGGGAAAGTCGGTCTCAGATGCACACAGTAAAAAACGCCACAAAGCTATATCTTTTAAAGAAAAGCATCACAATAGACATTTACCCAGCAATCACTTAAGTGCATATTTGAGTTACAGAAAGTCTCAGTCATTAAGCATAATCATTCTATCATTATTGTTTATAAAATGCATATTGTCTAAACGTAAAACAGAAAGTTTAAGATGTGCCACGTACCATTGCAATGTAAAAAGAGTACGTGAGAAACTTTAAAATGCTCAGATGAATTGCTTCATTG